CCCCAAAACCCCAAAACCCCGTAATATACTCATAACAAGAATTTGAATTTAAATTTTAAACTGAAAATAAATATAAAATCATTTAAATATGAATAATCTTTAGCAGCAATAAAACTACATCTAAAAACAGTCAAATTAGTCATAAAACTCTCAGTAAAGTAGCTAATAGTTTTCAAAAGGCAGCTTTATTGCTGGGAACAATCCTTAATAAATGCCAATGAGGATATAGGACCAAGAAATTAGATCCTAAAATTAATCTTAGCAAATATCTTAAAATCCACAATTTCTTTCCTAGTAATAAAATATGATGATGCCTTCGCCTTAGTATAACTTAATCGAAGAAATCGGAACAGATGGTATGGAATACACACCAAGTGCATCTTCAAATCGTAATAACCCCCCATAGTAATATTAGCAAACAGATTTTTCAGCCCAGAGTATAGGCAAGGGAGTCAATAATAATGTAAACACTTTTACAATTGATCATAGCAATTCCTAATTAGATTCAAACGACGCCTATCTAAATCATCAATATTCACTAATACAAAGAGATTAGCAAACTCGGCATCCATAAGTTAGCATGAGAAATAATTCAATGTAAAAAACACCTAGCGTGCACATTTCCCTTGGAGCTTAAGCCTAAGGTGATTAATAAAATTATTCAAGCAGTAAAAGTTTTTAGAGAAATTTACAAACACCAGCTTTTCAATCAATGAATAACAGTTCAGATATACTTCCATCTAATCAATCTATGATGCAAAATCATTAATAAAGTCAATAGTAGGCAATGATAGACTCCTTAACATTGAAAATTAAGTAGCAAGCAGAAAAACTGCAATTTTTGGAAAACTATAAGACTCTGTGTGAGAGAAGAATAAAAGACTACGACTCTAATCATCAATTGCCAGTATTACCCTCACATATTGGTCAGTCTATTTCAAGCACAACAAGGAATTAAAATAACGAAGGTGTGTTGCATTAGAGAATATCAGATTTGTAGCTTGAGTTATCTAAATCACAGGACTTGAGATCACGACTTCAGTAAGTCGAAGAATCTTTGAGACTTGAAACTCTTCAAAATGAGGAATAAAGAGCTTATATTCAAGTTCTAAGAGAAAGTTTAGATTAAAAACTGACTTAAATGGGCATGATATTCAAATCTAATCAGATGCATAATACGGGATTCAATTCTAATGTAGATGGGTATATCTAACTTCTAAATTTGCAGAGATAATATGATCAATCTCTGAAGGAAAATTAAAGATTGCAAAAAATTATTTAAGACTAGCAGTAAAAATTCTCAGAGACCGAGATAATCATCAATAATTCTTATCAAAACTAAATAAATGATTTGAAAAACTAGCATTTGTTGGACTATAATAATCTTAATGAAAAATTAAACTCGGTTAGATCGAAGAAAAAGGGTTTGAAGCAGGAAAAAAATTAATTGCTAGATTTTGTTGAGGAATCTCTTCATAAGCAACAATAGGAAGAACAAATTAAGACAGAGCTACAGAGTAACCTAAGGGATAGGGACAGTTTGATTAATTAGTTGCAGTTATAAATAGAGGACGTTAACAGAGATAAGCAGAATCTTGATAGCCTTCTCACACAGGTTTAGCACAATCTAAGAACTATGAGAGATGAAAAAGAAAAACAGCAGAAAATCATAGGGGATCTAAATAGTATGAATGAAGAAAACGATTAAAATATAAAGGACTTGAAAGAAATACTAAGAGATTTGGAAGAGTAACTAGCAAGTTTAAAGGCACAGACAAATGAGAAGGAAAGACAATTGAGTGACAAGTCATTAGATGTAAGGAGGTTGGAGACAGATAACAGTAGGAAAGACAGAGAAATCGAATCAATGATTAGAACCTAAAATGACATGTCAAGAGAGAAAACTTCTATGATTGATTTACTCAAAGGCTAGTTAGATGATTAAACGAAAAAAGCAATGGCACTACAAGATGCTAATTATTAGCTATAAAAGACTTTAAATGCAACCTAGTATGAGCTAGACGGACTGATAAAATAATTTGAGACTATTTCATAATCTTATAAGCTTCAGACCAATGAATTTGTTATCATTAAGAAACAACTCTAAGAATCATAGGTAGAAATAGATTAGAGAACCAGAACATACAATGACTTAAAGAACAAAGAATCACAATTGCAAAGAGAACTTCAAGATTTATATGGTTCATTATCTAATAAGTCTAAAATAGTCAAGGACTAGGAACTAAGACTAATGAAGACTCTCTAAGAGAAAGATGAGGAGCTGCAAAACTTGATAAGGAAATATGAAACTTTGATGGATTAGTCTAAGGAACAGACAAATAAGATAAATTACTTGGAGAGAGTTAGAGAAGAGAAGGATTAAGAGACAGATAAACTCAAGAGTACTATCGAGCTGAAGAAAAACATAATTGAAGATATGTAGCAGTAACTAAGCAGGACTAGAGCAGATTTGGAAACACAACATATGACTACTCAGAGAACCTTAAATCTTGCTCAAACTGACTTGGAGAAAAAAGACTAAGATTATTAGATGCAGTTAACTAAAACATAAGAAGAATTAAGACAGATAAGAGAGTAGAAAAATTTGGCAGAAAGAGTTCTGGATGATAAAAGTTTTAAGTTAAGAGAAATTGAGGTTGAGAAGTTAAAACTAGACGACAAGGTAAGGAGACTTGAGTCTGAACTAGGAAAGCTTGAGACTAGGTTTTCAAGGGATAAGGACAGATCTACTTCGGTCTAAGAGGAGCTTGATAGACTGAGAGGTCAAAGAGTTGATGATGCACTGTTGATAGAAAGCTTACGAGCATCACAAGAGAACTTGAGAACTGGAATGAATGACTTGATAGGCATTTTCTCATCCTTTTAGCCTTACTTAGATCATATAGTATCCCAAGAAGCCTCAGGTATAGATCTAGCAACTAAAGAACTGACAACTCTCTATGAATAAATTAGCTAACTTAAGGTAGTCAAAAATGATTAAGAAATAAATGCCTAGATAATGCTACTAAAAGATTGTTTAACCAGCTTCATTGTCTACACTAAAAGTATCAACAGGTAAAATAAAGAGTAACTGACTAATACATTCCAATTAACTCAATAGCATAAGCAAACAAATCCAAACAACTAGTCATATCTTGATAGTCCTCCCTAGAAAGAAGATTGGAATGTTCCTTAAAGAATAAACAAACTAGCCTATCAATAAGCTTATGCAAACCAGATAGAAGATGACTCAGCAAATATCATGAGACTTCAAGCCACTAACGAGAACTTAAAACTCTCATTAGAGTAGTTAAACTAAGAGAAAGAGAAGATGTATCAACTTAAGTCTAAGTTTGAGTCTCTAGAGGAGCAACTTACCAATGACAAGGAGCATATTAATCATTTGGAGACTCTAATCAGGAAATTAATAGCCATTAAATCACTAGATCCTAAGTTACAGAGAGTAATGAGTGATATGTTCTTAAATCTAAGGGACATAATCTTGCTTAAAACTGACAAAGGTGCTCAGGTCAGAGGTCTGATGCAAAAAGAGTAGAGATATCACACTCTTAACAAGGCAAATGTAGGAGGACTTCAGACTTATCAAAGAGAGATTAGCTTGCTTAAGGGAAGTATAGAAAGAGAGAGGTAAAATATCAAGGAACTGGATCAGAGAATAGAAGAGCACTCAAGAAGATAGGAGATATTGCAAGAAGAGATGTAAAATTTGGATTTAGTTCTTGCAAATAAAGAAAATCAACTAGATATTTAAAGTTATGGGCTGCTTTAGGAAAATCATGAACTTAAGAAGCAAAATGAAAAAGTCTCTTAGGATAAAGAGTATGACAATTGATAATATAAAAATTTCTGTAGATGGGCTGAAAGAAGACTTCAAGAACTTGAAGATCAGTTGAATAGATTCAACATGCCATTTGGAAGCAGAAAAGACACTATTGAAAAAGACATCAATTAGCAAGCTTTTGAAGGATAAGGTAACTAATATCTTTGATCAACTATTTTAGAGGATAATCAAAGACTACATTGGCAGAAGAAAAAGGAATATTAGACTTTCGTGAATGAATCAAATTACGACAGCCTAGCTAATCCTCACAGAGATAATAATTACATCGATATTGTGTCTTAAAAGCATCAGCCATTCAACAGACAACAAAGTCCAGATAGAAAGCCACTGGGACTAGGCAATAATATAGGAGGTGCGGTAGGCAATAGCACTGTTTTGGGATAAGATTCATACTCACTTGAAGGATATGTAGCTTAGAAATAAGGCATGCAGAAAAGTAAATTAAATGATGCATATTTATTATATTTTTATAGAGAATCTAGACGGTGAATTCAGGTCGGTAGGCTAAACCAAGGTAGCACCTTATGCAATAAGAGAAGAGTCATATCCATCACTCCTCTCTCCAGCTTAATCCAATTATAATCAAAATGAAAGAACAGGCAATTACACTTATAATCAGCACTCTCTGGAATAATACGAATTCGCCAACAGTAGTGCTCTAATAAACAACTAAAGATCAGGGTATCATCAAAATATTCCCTAGCACAGCCATCAAGTATCAATCGGCGGTGAATCAGACTAGCAAGCAACTAGTTAACTTAAGAATAAGATCTAGCAGGTGAAAAGTATGTTCAACTAGATCAGGAAAAATATAGATGAGTGACCTAATACTGTTCAAAATATTGAAATATTTTTGTCTTAAGTGAAAGAAACTACTATTATGATTAATTTTGATTAATTGATTTTTAAATTATATCTGTACAAGCGGGGTTTTGGGGTTTTGGGGTTTTGGGG